GGGGGGTGAAGGATCACAAATTTGGGGGATGTGGATATGTCCATTTTATTGACTGTGATGCGATCGCAGGTATATGTACATATTAAAGTACATCAGGTTGTATACTTTGAGTATGTTCAGGTTATAGTATGTCAATGACACCTTAATATAGCTGAGGATTTGGGGTGGAGGGGGTGTGAGGGACTCTGGTGCAGCCCCAGAGGGTGGACTGGCTCTCCTGCCTCCTGGCCTTCTGTGCTGTCCCCTCCCACCCATCCCTCCAGTCCCACACTCACCTCTTCTCCCTCATTCTCTGGCTGCCCAAACTTCAGCCGCAGATTCTCTTCAAACTCCTCATCTGTCCAGTAAAAGAGGACCTCTGCGCCCTCTGTGGCCACCAAGACGCACTTCATCTGCCAGGGAGAAGCAAGGTCAAGGTCGCCTCCCAGTCCCTGCATCCTTAAGCATGGCCTGAGTGATGAAGAGGATCATAAGCCCAGCAAACATCTACTGAGCCCTCACTGTGTGCCAGGCGCCACCTTGAGGGCCTCCTGGTGTTATTTCGTCACCCCCTCACGGCAAAAAACAGGAACCTGGTAAAACAGGAACCTTCAGTTCCTCCCATTTTATAGAGCACGGTGTGGCATAGCCTGAAGCGGCAGAGCTGGGATCCAAACCCAGGCCTGTCTGATTCCAACGCTGGGGCTCTTTCCTCTGTCTTCTGACCCCTTTCACTACAGCATTAGACCAACTACGGGCCTAATGGAACCAACTGTAAGGAAGGCCCAGCTCTCAATCTGGACAGGAGTCAACTGCACAGGGAGGCAGCCAGTCAGAGCCTGGCCTGGAATGCAGGGCAGCTACTGAACCTCCCTCTGGGTAGTCTAGAAGTGTGTTTCTCCTCAAATCAAAAACAGCCCCAGAAGACAAGCTTCAAAGCCCACAAGGAGTGGTTTCAGCATTACAGGAATTTCATTCACATGTTCTTCCTGCTCTGGGTGGAAACAGAGGCCGCCTGACCTTGTCCCTGCGCATGCTCACACCTGCCTGACTGCTGTGTCCGCAGCCACATCCACCAGTATCTCTGGCCCTTCCGAACCTCCTTCCCCACCACCCACACATGCACCCTCTGTGCCACACATTTTAAGGCTTAATTATATAAAATGTGTTTTATTATTCACCAACTGGTAAATTCTTAATTCAGAGCTTCCCACAGTGTCTTGGACCCCTGGAGTGCAGCAAGACCTCGATCTTCTCCACCGCGGAGAAGCCTGCCCAAGCCTGGTGAGGCCAGAGCTCTCGGGCCAGCCGCACGCAGCTGGGAGAACCCCAGGCAGGAACGTCAAACCTTCTCGTGTACCTCATGTGCCACAAAGACATGATCACGTTGCACATGTGCCAAGATGTGACAATGATTAGGAAACTGCTCTGAGTCTTCCATGAATGGAGGTCCGGTTTCCTCAACAGGATATAGCATTTTGAGGTCTTCGACTCATTTACACTCTTTAGTTTCCCCTATGTGACCAGCTTAGTGGCACTTACTGAATTCTCCCCAAATCTCCAGTTGGTTTATCAATTCTAACTCAGAGCACTCAGCCTGAAGGTGTTTCCAGCACAGTGAAAAACAGAGACTGCAGCCTACCCATGGAATTGCTAAGCACAAGGCAGAGACTGGGAGAACCATGAAGTGTGAAGATGTTGCTGGATGAGGGCAGGTAGACCGAGAAGAGGCTCTGGGACTCCCAGGTAAGAGTCACACGATTGGGGGCTTGAGGGGCCAGCCTGATGTGGGGTTGGGGCATGGTGTGTTATGGAGTGGAGGCTGTGGTCAACAGCAAAGAGCCCCTGTAGGCGGGTAAGGATGTGGGAAACTCCGTGCTGGCCATAGATGGGTGAGGTTAGCTTATGGAGGCAGGTCATCCTGGTGTGGGACAAAGAGGGCCCACTCCTTGGTGGAGGCCAGGAGAAGAATAGTAGCTCAGAGACACAGCAGACCTTGATGACTGCCTGGATACAAGGAAGGACAGAGAGAGTAGGCAAAGTGACATCAGGATACAGCGCTGGGCAAGGGCTGGGGAGAGGGCTCTGCAGAGCCGGGGAGAGCTCAGTCCACTGCCTGCCTCACTGTCCGCCTCCCAGAGCCTGAGTAGCCCAGAGTGGGTGCTGCCTGCCTCCGTATGCCCCAGGCAAGGCGCAGTCATCTACCTTGGCGAGGAGCACAGCAGAGCTTCCAGACAGCCAGAGGTTCAGAAAGGGCTGCTGTTTACAGACTCGGTGACCAGCTCATGGAGCAGCATAGCATCCTGGGGCCTGCAAATGCTTAAAACAGAGAGGTCATGAGGGCAAGCAGTTCCGACTGTTCCCTGTTCCTGGGAGTGGACAAGGTGGTGAAGGACTGAGTGGTCTTCCTCTGGCTATGAGGCAGTCTGCTCAGAACATTCTCCTCACAGCCGGGAGGTATCTGAGTGCCCTGTGTCCCTCTGCCCCAACCCTCAAAGAATTAGAACAGGAACCCAGCCATCACAGTCATTTGGACATAGCTGGTGCCCACAAACATTAATTTCCACCTCCTGTTTCCTTCCATGCGCTCTCATTTCACTGTGGGTCACTCAGAGCCATGGTGTGGTCAGCAAACCCACTCTAAGGAGCCTCAGGGAGCCGCTATGACTGACTGAGTGGAGACAGCATAGCATATTCAGATGGACAGGGAAGTCCAGGAGAGGGGAGGTGCCGGGGATGACGTGATGAATGGCAACAAAGCAACACAAAAGGACCCTGACACCTGGTTCTAGTTTTGGCCTTGCCATGGCACTTAAACCTCTGGGCCCCAACTCCTGCTGTGAAAGGGAGGAAAAATGCCCTGCTCCACCTGTAAGATTATAGGAGAGTCGGGGGTAACCAGGCAGGAGGGCCTTAGGAAACTGCTCTAACACACGGTGGGTGGGTGGCGGGGAAGGGTGTCTATATTCTTACTTCCCAGGTGCCCTTAGTCAAGTAACAGGATGAGCTAAACTGGTTCCTGATCATTCACATTTTGATGATAAAAGGCAGGAATAATAAAAAGCTTTAGCTTAAATAAGAGGCAACGAAAGGGCTTTTAGGGGCTCAGCATGTTTTTTTTTTGCAACATAACTGCGACTTGCTGCATCACGGGCATGACTGGCCTTAATGCCCTATTCCCAGAAAAAATGGGAATGCTTCTTAGTGAACCTTAGGTTCTACTTTTCTTATTCCAAAGAACCTCCCGGTGTCGTTCCCTGCTCTCTATCCCGCGCCCAGGAGGGGACACGGGGCTCGCGGCAGCTCCAGACGGCGCCCGGGCCGTTCACCATCCCGCCCGGCAAACCGCCCCCGCCT